TTGGATAATTTTTATCGATTAAGATTAGATAATTTAAATTGCAGCAAATTTTTGTATTTCATTTCATGCTTCTCATCATTTAGAATAAAAATAGTTTATAGGTATAATTGCAATTATATGTCATTGTTCCGATAGTTTGCTTATCTTTTATGAATGTTGTAAAAACAACATTTGTGATAGAATAAATAATTTTAATTATATTCTTATAATTATGCCATCCATAAAAAGCATCGTTTATTCCATTATCTGTTACAGAATTCATATAAGTATATGAAAGGTTACCTTAATATCACAGCCCAAGAATGTATTGTTAGCCATTCCCTGTAACAGTAAGTTCATTTGAAATAATTTAAATTTCATGGGAAAAATAAACTGAAAAAAAAAGTTGAGAAAGAATTGTAAATTAAAAAAATAAACTTTTGTGTACAGAGAGAAAGAGAAACAGATGGATGGATGGGGAGAGGGAGAGAGAGAAAAAAAGCAAGGAGTTTTCAAAATACCAACCTATAAGTGTTTCTGTGAAATATAAAATGAAGACATTGACTTTGATAAATATAACACTCTCATCAGGAATTACTTTTCTTTCTCGTTGTATAATTTGCATAAAAAAGTTAACTGTAATCAAGTTCTGATCCAGGAATTGTTCTTTATGCTTATGCAAATAAAGCAATATGAGAGAGAATTTGAGAGGGCTTAGAGCAACTTGAATGGATAATTCTCCATTGAAGACTGGAAAAATGCGAATTACAAACAAATCTGATCGAAGAAAAAAATGGTGGAATAATTTAATGGTTGAAATTGAAATTCTTTCTCAAATGATTTAATTGCAGTAATTATTGTCATGTGCTTGCTATTAAAATGATTTTAATTTTTTAGCGTGAATTACTCATGTAATGGAGAATTAGTTGAATGAATTATATAAAGTTTTTAATTTCAAAACGGCGAAAAGATCATCAAAACCATCAGGAATTCGATGCATAAAAAATGGAGCAGATCGAAAAAAAATTTATTATTCAAAATGAAGTTATAATGGAAATTAGTATAATGTTAACAGTAAATTTAACATATTTTTGATGAATATCGGTCAGCAGCAGCTTTTAATTTCATTTGTAATTCGCTAGTTTTCACTAGCGCTAAAGGTGTCTGTTTTTCCTGAAAGAAGATAGAAGCTTGTGTATTTACAAACTAACTAATCAAAAGTCAATAATGACCAAAGGAAATATCAAATATCATTTATTCCTCAACGCTATGAAAATATAACTAACTTATCGAACTCTTAAAATGAGCTTAGGAAACAAGAGTAAAATCATTTCATCTAAACCTTCCATTGATTAGGATATAAATAATTCAAATATTTGGGAACTAGTGCTCATAAAAATTGAAGCGATTTATATTAAACTTTAGAAGAGCTTAATTTTCAAATATTTAGAATATTGGAAAAATTTTTAAGCATTTTAAAATATACCTTATTTTGGAAATACAAATCAGCTCCATGTTCCGCCAGCAATATAGCAATGTCTTCCCGTTGTTCTTCCACTGCCAAATGTCTATAATTTCTTCCGATATTCATGTAATAAATGAAAACAACATTATCCTAAATCTAATAATTAAGTCGAAATAAACAAAAAAAAAATAAAAAAAGAGACTGTAAAATTTAGAAAAAGACCTCCCTAAGGTATTCAAATTTCTTCCAAGATATTTCGAATTAATTCGAATCAGTATGGAAATACACATCTTCATTCATATAAGGTAAATAAATATCATAAAAATAAGAAAAGGTTTGACCCCAAAAAAAAAAAAACAATTGAGTATGCATATATGTATATGTAAGACTTATATAGATAGCGAATCTCTGGTGTTGGGAAAAGATTGAACTAATTCAAAAAGGCGTAATCACTTCAAAATGTCTTTGAAACAAAATATGCTATTAGAAATGAAGCAGAAGAATAAAAACAGAAATGAACTAATTTATTTCTTTCAGTTTTAGTTTTAATTTCAAGTAGTCTATTAGGAATTAATTAGAAGAAAATCTATTAAACTTAATTGAATTCGGCAAACTTACAGTGCTGTGCAACCAGCAGAATCAGTGAGATTAATCCTCAAACTTGGTTCGTTCAATAAAATAGGTACAATCTAAAAACAATCATTTTATTAACTAGTATAATGGATATGACTACTTTATATTCAGTAAAGTTTAATCATACACAACAGTATTGCTAACCTTTTCATGACCTTGAGAAGCTGCCCGATGCAATGGTGTTGCCTGATAATTGTCCTGTGCATTTACGTTTGCACCATTTTTCAGTAGCATTGTCGTAATCTTAAATATTCAAGTTAACTAATAATTGAATTTCACAATTTAAATTTAATTCATGGAGAACAAAACCTTATATCAAACAAATGAAATAACATAATTATCGCATGCCAAATATTACTTGTGGTCTATTTTTACTTGCAGCATAATGCAAAGCAGTTTGCTTATTGTTATTTGGCGTATTAACATCCACCAATGGTAGACTGATCAGATACCGAACTACTTCCAATCGTCCAGCTGAGCAAGCAATCATCAACGGTGTCCAACCCATCTGCAATTTTTAATACATTCTAATTCCTTCTGATGATAACATTTGTGAATATAACAGATTACAATGAGAGAAAATATTTAAACAAAATAATTTATGCATAATTCTGAGTAAATTAAATTATATATGTGAACCTACTCCAAAGAACTTAGCTTTCTCGTGTCATCCATATATGTACATTCGATACTGTAATGATCTTCAAGAAAAAAAAAACCCTAACTTTGATGATTTGAGAACTTACATCGTCCGATGCTATAGCATCATCTTCATGTTGCGATACACAGAACTGTACGATCTCTAAACAACCACCACTTGCTGCCCAATGAATTGCTATTCGACCAGACTAAAACAATTATAGATGAACATAACTTACCAATGAGAAATGATTTAATAAAAGAGCATTGACAGATAACAGAATTCTAACTTTTCAGAATCTCGAATTTCATGTTTGTCGAGCTGAAGTAAAAGGCAAACACCAGATTTCCTCTCATACAACAATATCAACAAACAAAATTTAAGTCATATCTGAGGAGTAGCTTACATCATCCTTCCCAGATCTTAACGTATCATATTTTTGTAGCAACCGCTTCGCATCTTCCGCCTTATTCTTACGCAACGATTCGATAAGTTCTGCTCGAGCTGTTTCTACGGTTTTTGCCGGTTTTTCATCCATTAGTTTACTTTAAAAAAAAACGATTTAACAGCAATATGAGAGAAATGTTATCAACTCACAAATTCTTACAGTACTATAAGTTTTCTTCTATTCGTGAACTTAAATTTGTTATATTTTATCTTGAGCGCAATTAACTGCTGCACAAAGACTTATAATAAGACATATCAACGTAGTAACTGAAACCAATAAAAATGGTGCATATGAGCTGCATGGAAAAAAATGAAGAAAAAAATGAAAGTAGCAAGTTTCATTCATAGAGAATAATAATATCAGAATCAGTTCATTTGGTAGAAAAAGTATATCACAGCTACAAAAAAAAAGAATCATATATGAATTATTTCAATTTTGAAAATTTCAAAAAATAATCGAAAGTACTCGTTTTCTTAATATATACAATATAACAACAACATATAGCAGTAAAGCAAAAGCTATTAAAATTTTGTCTGTACATTCTCGTCGACCATATTTCGATATCAACTTTCCACCACTCTGTAATGGCAAATATCATCAGAACTTGAATACGCTTAACGCATGAAGACAAAAAATTAAAAGCTATCACATTTTATTAATATCTAACATTAAAAAATTGTAAAGAAGTAAATGTTTCAACCGGTAATTTTCTAGTAATATAAAAAGTTAAAAGTCACTACCTGTATATGCGCGCCCATTGATGAATATTCAGATTCTGTATCTTTAAGAAGAAATGAGGAATGAATCAGTGTTGAAGTTGTGTCTTCGGAGAGCTTTAACTGATTGCTCATTTTTGTGACCATTGATGCAAGACTTTCGGTTGCCTCAAAACAAAACAAAACAAAAATTCTTAATTTAGAGGGATGTAAACTGAAGTTTCACAATTTATTTATAATTTTTACAAGTTTGACGTGAAATTCTTAAATTCGAATAATTCAACTGTGCAATATTCAATTCGTTTTTGAAAGATTCAAGGATCAATTTTTCTTGCTAAACAAAAAATGAAAGAAAATATTTAATAAATACTTTTAAAGTTTGCGTTTTCAAGTTTTCAGCACGCTTTCTACGATTTCTGAATTCAATATCCTGAGAGTCATCACATCCTTGCAATAAATAACTGCGCGACTGTTCTTCTATAACATTCTTTCACAGATATATTGATTTACAAGAAAAAAAAAAGAAATTCTCTCATTCATGTAAGAATTTCAGAATTCAAAATTTCCGAAAAAAGATGAATAAAATAACCCACCCACAACTTTCAAAAACTCCAAAATTGCTTGACGAAACATTCGGCGATTCTTTTCTAATTCATTCCGATGTTCTCTCACTTGAGCCAATAATTCGATACGATCATTTCGAAAACTTATCTAAACATGCAAATCACTTGGTAATAATGTTCAGAAAAATGACAAATACATGGACCTGAATTTTGCATGGTGCAATAAAAGATGGACAACCTTGTTTGCAAATTTTTCTAAGGCATCAATTAAATGAGCAAGTTGAGCCATTTCATCTTTAATGTGTCTAGTACATTGTGCTATTTCTTTTTGTGACATAAATTTTTGCTGCCTGAAAAAATAAGGCACAGAAAATGATGTGTCGCAAAAACTATGAGTTGTATGGAGTGAAATAATACCACCAGAATCTTTTCAGTCTGTCTTCTAATTTCACTTCGTTAATTAACAAAAATATAAAATAAACCAAGCTATTGATATGACTGGTATGTATTGTTACATTATGAGACCTAAGCCAGACACGAAAATCTAACTGATCCAAACGAACTATACTTCATTAATAAAGACTAACCTAATTTCTTCGATATGGTTCTTCACAGTAATATCAGCCTTAAGAATATCTTGCTGACAAACTTGTAACTGCACCAAGTTCAAATTCTGCATTTCTCTTTAATACTTTTCAAAAACAGAATACAATTATTTTTTCTTGTATAACATCTGCACTAGTAAATCTAATTTCTGAATACTTTTCTGAAAAGCTCCATTTGCGCACTTTTTTTTTTAAAGCAATTGTAAGGCAATTCACAAGTAACAACATCATTCAGCTCTTAATATCCATTTCTAGAACAACTGTTCGCTCAGAATTGATAGAACTTTGTCAATAGAAAGCTTGTAAGTTACTCTTTGATAAACAATTGTTATCAGACAAAATGGGAATTAACCATGAAAATGAATCAAAAATATACAAATGGATATTTTACAATTTATGCAATTTCTATAATTTCGCAAAGTTGCACTAAATATCTATGACCAAACAACGAATAATGATTTCTATACATAACGTCTGCAATCATTAAAACAAGGATTACACTTCGTAACCATACTGTCTCATGCATTTCTTGTGAGCTTCTATCAGTTCTCCGCAATGTTCTTCACCAAATAAAATCATACATTCATCTCTGGCCTGCAATTATTCAAACTAAAGAAGTATCCACAAATTCTATAGATTTTCATTAGAAATAAATTTCCGTTATATTAATTTGTAAAAGGCTATTACTTCATTCCAACAGTTAACTTATTCTCTTCATATGGTCAACTTAAAAGGCTGTGTAAAATTAACTACAATAAAAAGTACTATATTCGATGAAAATGTAATATTATAAACGTAAGAACTGCTTACATAACAGATTGTGTAAATTAACCTTTTTAGTTTCTGGACAAGCGCAACATGGTTTGGGCTTTTTTCGATCGTTATCCTTTGACGACATCGAACATCCTTTATCGTCATTCATCTTTACAATAAATCAACGTAAAGCACCGATTAGACTAATATTATATCATTAAAATACATCGAAGTTTACGATCTTCAATTATTTTTTTCCGTTCTTGAAGATATGTAAACTACACAAGTTTGCACTTCTCTCATTGCTTTGTAGATTATTACACATTTTACAGTTCAACTATTTTCACTTACGTCAAAATAAATCATAGCACAATTAATTAAAATTAAATACATCCCCAGCCAGCATTTTCCCCACTTAACGAGCATCCCTGCATCATATATGAACTATTTAGGAAATGCTCTGCGAATAAGAGTAATCTATAACAAATTGAAATGCATAAGTTAAATACTCGAAGGTGACTGCAAAAATGCTTTTAGCCGCATAAACCCGTCCCTTATTTGCTAGACAACAATTTTAATTGTAAATAATTGGAGTTCCTGAAGTTCGGTTAAAGAAGCAATAATCTGTTCATAAAAAGAGCAGAAATTTTCCACAGGAAAAGAAATTTACTCAAGCATTTATTATTTATGCAATCATGCAAAAAACATAGAGGCAATGAAAGAAAATCCGAAAAACAACATTAATTTGGACCGATTGTCTTTAAGCTGTTGAAATACCTAAAATCCCAAAATATGAAATTGAGACTGGTAAAAATTAAATGATGGATAATCTATGAATAAAAAAGAGGCAACCTAGAAGAGGAATTCTGGTGGCATCATGAATCAGAAAACTCACCTTAAATCACAAGTAGTTTTAAAAAAGCGAAAAGCTGAGACCTATTAAATAACTGAAAACTGAAAACTGGCATAATCATTGCAAAAGTAGCCTGATTATTTTCCAAAAATGATACTAATAAATTTGGGTAATATTTTAACATAAAAAAATGAACACTTTAATAAGTAACAGAAAATGAAATGTTTACCTTATTTAAGTAAAGAGATAAATGAATAAACCAGTAATTCAATTGGTGGCTTAGTTGTTGAGAAAAAAAAATTCGTTCAGGTGAATAATGTTAGAACAACATTAGAAAGACTTTCGAAAATAACACTCCATTGAAAACATACAACACTTACATAACAAGTGGAACGGATATAATTAAATTTGCAAATTTTTAATAGCACAAAAGAATACATTTCCGGAATCGAACACCATAAAAATGTCAGCTATATAGCGTTTGAAACATGTAGATTAAAATCTGAGGTCCCGTACCAAAATGAAAGTTATCCTTGAGTTATTTGAGGCTCAAAGATAGTCTTTAGATAAAGAAACGTGCAGAGGGTGTTTATAAACATTTTCATAAAATCTTGGAAAATATTATATGATAATAGAATCAAAATTATTGATTATTATCTTGTTTCGCAAATTCAAACCAGGCATTTTTCTCTGTCAAGAAGGCAACACCATCGATTTCGTTCCACCTAAAAATGGGTTCAACAAAAAGGAAATCAAAATTTGGCTTCTAAATTTCAAGTTCAATTATCCCGTTCATTTCTTACTTTTTTAAAGAAGTATGTTTAAAATCTAAACTTCCTGTAAAGCAAAGAGATAGAAAAAATCCATCATAAATTTGAAATTCTTCAAGTTTAAAGCTGAATATAACGCGAACATATATGCAAATTCTCAAACGAATTAACTTCAAAATCTTGATTTAAAAATCACGATTAGAGAAAAAGACAATTAAAGATAATCACTCCGAAGATGAAAGATAAAAATGACCTGCGTAACTGCACTGTATAGTACATAATAAAATTTTATCCAAAAACATAATCAGTGGCTCTCGATAAGTCCCACCAATTGCAGCTCAATGCCGAAATAGCATCCTCCTATAAAACTTGTAATCAAAGAAACAAACTCAATACTAAAAATCTAGACTTTGGACCCCTCCATTCTGACTGTTTCAATTTTTACAAATTTAACCTGCTTGACTCCCATATCCTTCAGTTTGTCGATTTTGTTCCAAAACTCGTCATCCCGCTTGCCTTCGGCTTTGGCATAATGCTGAGCCCAAAATCGCGCCGTTCGCTAAATTTTATAATTTATATATTCGCATTAAAAAATCAACAAAATAAATAATTATTAGCCTAACTTTGTAAAGTTGTGCATTATCCATATATTGCCTGGCAACAACAGCATCCTGTGGGTCATTTGGCTCTGGCAAAGTTAACAGTGCTTGAATACTTAGCAACACAGTACGCAAAGTTAGAGAAGCAGCCCTGAAAAAAAACTAGAAATATTTAAAACGAAAACCTAAAACAATACAGTGACAAGTGGCAATCGAAAAACAAATTTTTATTCAATAAACATTATATTTACAAACCTGCTTAAGTTGCGGCCAGAACTAAAGAATTTCTCATTTTCAATTTGACATTTTAAGAAAAATCATCGAGATCAAAATTTTTAGATATCAACAAACTATCAACATCTTACCACTGCTCTTTTAATATATCAAGACAAATCGTCCCAGTTTGTGAACTGATATTTGGATGCCAAATTTTTGTGATGAATTTGCACTGGAAACAAATGCCATATATTCATTTGAGAATTTAAAAACAAATAATATGCATACGCCACAATTTTTTTTTTGCATTTTTAGCAAATTTTTCAAACTAATCACGATAAGAAAGTGTTATTTATCGATAGGTTGAATGAAGAAAAAAAAACAATCGTGCCCTCTATGGAAAGTGGAAATATGGTTGAAATCTGTAACCATAAATGGTCATTAACGGAACAATCAGAATACTTTAAGAGAAAAAAAAGAGTTCGAATTACATAAATAATTTTTGACAACTTTTCAAGAAACACTCACTATAGGTGGCTGAAAGGGATATTCGTCTGGAATTGTGATATCCAAAGCATAAGTACCACCTTCGTACGGGCTATCTGGTGGACCTCGTATCTCCCCACGTATTTTTGTGAGCGAATCATTACGGATTTCAATCATTACGCCCGTTTCAGCCAGCTGAAAGTTTTACATAAGACGTTCAAATAGTAAAGTTCTTCGTAATTCAACAAAATGCTCACTTAAAATCTAAAGAATATATTTAAAAAAAAAGAACTCTCATAAACTACAATCATTAATTCTTATTTTAAATAACAATTTCATCTAACGCATCGTTTTCCTCAGCTATTTCAATTATTATACCTTCATATATGAAAATTAAATAAAAGATATTAATTTTCAGGTTAAAAACATTTTTGAAGGATGTAAGCAAACTTCTTTATTAGTAATAATTTCTTTGCATTCTCGTTGTACGCGTGAAAAAGCAATATTTTGAGACATCGTAATAATAGTAGTCTCAATTTGGATCAGATCACTGAAAATCAACCCTTCTCAATTCAAATACTTGAAATGAAAATTAATTTAATGACGCAAAATAGGTCCATCAGATAGATTTGAGAGAAATGACGAAACTTACAGCTATTTCTTCCCAGTAATAAATTAGTGATAATTAAAAATTTTTTCCCATCATTGTTTTACCCAATTATGGTACCTTTAAAAATTCCTACCTGACCACAATCTACATCGAACGCCTAACAAACACATACACACACACACATACACACACACACACACA